GTTCTGGAACAGTGTTGTAAATACAACTTAACCACTGATTTCTAGTCGTGTCCTCTTTGGGAAGGCCAAACAAAGAAGTTTCGCTTTCACAACGAAACACAGCGTCACACACGGCGGCCTTGAGTGAGTGGAGGCCTGCGGGCTTGAGTGAGCGGCGTCCGGTGGATTCGACGAAGGAGCGGCTAGAGTTGTGGGGGCGTGTTAGAACGAACCGTTTTAGGTAGGCGTGGTTGACTCTTAACTTTTATAAAGAATATATCTTTGGATTTGAGACCTTTAGTCTTTGCAACTTTACAGATCTTCTTTATGCACCAAGAGCTTGTAAAACTTTAAAGAGAAAGGAAAATTTTAAATCACATCATATGACCCCTTTAATATTGTATTATGCAAGTACAATTTATTAAAAATATATACTTTTAAGATCTCATGTACGATACAATTGCACATTCCATATAACTAAGCACACTTCTTACTTACAATGTCATGAAATGCTTCATTGGTGTCTATTTTATTTCTGCTAAAGATTTTTATGGGAAGCATCTAACATGAAATTGATCATTAAATGAGAACTCTCTCAAGCTACGAAATAGCGATCTCTCAGTAATACAAGTGATCTGATATACATATCTAACTTATTCCAAAGCACACATCTAGCATCCAGGTGTTATGTGGGTTTAATGAGAGCTCTTCGACTGCAGCATGTGATTTAAAGCAGCTGACAGCATAAGAACAGACTGCATATGCAATCTGTTCACTGCATAGAGTACATCACACTCACTTCAGCCTTTCATTTCAAACAGCTGTAGGACATTATTAATTCAAACTAAATCCTACAGGAATTCCCACACTGAGTTGTTGTTTAATATTGCTTGATATGCTTGGTTTGTATTGTACAAAATTGTAGACAATTTTTATGCAACTACAACACAGTCATAGTTTCCAAAGACACGTAACAGGGTCTACAAAGCTCAAACCTTGAGCAATGGAAAATAAACTAAAATGGCCTCATAAGTCATCTTGTTCCTGCTGCTAACATTTGGAAGGGTTTAATGTTGAATGAGCCAATGGATGCCTTCGATACACCTAGTTGTCAGGCATTAAAGTGAAGCAGGATAGTTAATCATATGAGCAGCCATCTCAGGAGAGTCATCCGCCCCAATGATTACTGAGCATAAAACAGCCAGGGAACACAAGTCCTTTTTAAAAGACCAAGTACATCTAGATGTGTGAACACTGTAACACTATAGTGCTAACATAATTTCCTTTCCTCATGCTGTGAGTTGCTTGGTGTACACTGGAAGACCTTTCATTCTACTTTTATTCTACACTATTAATAAAATACTTAAATGCTGTCTTTTATGATGTTTCTAATTACTTGCAATAACCCAAAGTATAAATAACAATATGTTAATTTCAAGTTATTCATGAACTTTATTATTAACTGTAACGTAATGCATAATTGGAGAAGAACTGTGAAGTTGACCCTCGTTGTTGTAAGCAAAGTGAGTGATTGAAATCAAAGACAAAGAAACTGTAACCTCTGCCTCTTTTAACTACGTGCAGAAAATAAATAAATAAATGTAACATTCTGCACATTCGGCACTGAAACTAATATATTACTAACAAAATAACAATGGATCTTATTTATGAAACATGAACTTTTTTGCCAAATTTATATGCAATGTAAATGTACTAAATACAATAACTGTATGCAAGAATGATTTCAAATATAATTCACACAAGAATGCTGCTCATGTCTGCTCATTGTCAATCCATTGCCAATTTTTTCAATAGCCCCTCACTGCAGAACAAAGATCCAGGGGGTGGGGTTGGGTCCACATCTAGGGGGTGGAGATGGTAGGTTTAGGGGTGGAGATTGGTGGGTTTAGGGATCAAGGGGTGGAGACGGGTAGGTTTAGGTATATGTAAGGTGGCCGGACTTGGATCTGGATCCAACCTCGCCCCCTGGATCTTGTGTTCTGCAGTGAGGACCATCTCAATTTTTTATAGAAATAATATAATAAAAGAATGAATAAACCAACAAACAAACAAACATTAATTTAAACATACAAATTATCCATACACCCAAGAATCTAAAATAGTTATTTTCTTTTCTTTTCTTTTCTTTTCTTTTCTTTTCTTTTCTTTTCTTTTCTTTTCTTTTCTTTTCTTTTCTTTTCTTTTCTTTTCTTTTCTTTTCTTTTCTTTTCTTTTCTTTTCTTTTCTTTTTTTTCTTTTCTTGTCTTTTCTCAAGTTAATTTCAGCTCCAGTGGACCTACATCTTTTACAAAGTCTAAATTAATTAATTAATTA